CGGTTTATCTACACCCGAGAGCACCGAGGCCTGACTTGTGGTGATGGTGCAAAGATCCCAAAGTTCTGGGTAGTTAAAAAGATTCAACTAGCCGGGCGCTGGTGGCTCACGCCTGTAATCCTAGCTACTCAGGAGGCTGAGATCTGAGGATTGTGATTCAAAGCCAACCTGGGGAAGAAAAGACCATGAGACTCTGATCTCCAATTAACCACCAGAAAACTGGAAGTGGTGTTGTGGCTCAAGTGGTAGTGAGGTCATCTTGAACTGAAGAGCTGAGGGGCAGCGCCCAGGCCCAGAGTTCAAGCCCCACGACCGACCGACAAAAAAAAAAAAAAATTAATCAACTCCTGTTCAATGAGACAGTCCTTGCCAATAGACACCACTGACTGACCCATTCCTGATGCCTATGAGCGCAAGCCAGCCTGCTCAGAACCCACTTGGTACTGGGGCCTTCTGCCAGAAGGACACACTCAAGCCAGTCATGACACAGGTGAGGGGAACTCTCTACTCCTACACAACTAGGAACCAAACAGAGGAGCAAACTCTCCTGCCTCTTCCTCCAAGACCGAGGCTGAGAAAGCTAACTCTGCACACAACCTTCCTCTCAGGAGGGAGTGGGTCCACTGTTTTCTTGAGAAGATCCACCCCAGAACCCAGGGCCCCCAAACCTGCTTGTGAGCAAGCTGGGAAGACAAAAGCCAACAGCCAGTGGGCAAGAGGTGATGACCCCAGGCAGAGCCCCTCCTTCCCGCAGTAACAGCGTTCTTTGGGTTTTTAGATGAGGGGTGAGGGGAACAGCACGGAATTGTCATCCTCTTAGGCAGAAGTCACTTTCTTGCCCAAGTTTCGGCCTGTAGCAGGGCACAGGCTGGCAGGCTGCTGGGGGGGGGGGGATGGTCACTTACCAGCGGGGGCTGCGGCTGGGGGGGCTGCCCGGCTCCCGAGTGCGGTGGGTAGTGCATGAGCAGATTGAAGGCGGAGTAGACCGTCTCTTTGTACATGCCGCTGGAGCACTCAGGGGCCTTCAGGCCTGGAAAAACCACAGCTGGGTCAGACACCAGCCGGGGCAGCTGCTGAGCTGCAGGCTGTGGTCTGCTCTTGAAAGAAAAATCATCATCCAAATGAGGATTGCCAAGGGATCCCCTTCAAGTCCGTGCCTGGCTGGGGAACCGGCGGAGGGTGTTGCCAGGTGCCAAGTGGTTGGGAGAAGAACCCCCGCGCGTGTCCAGGCCTCCCCACCTCAGCCCTCCCGCTGGGGAGCAGGGCTGGGGGGGGGGGAAGGAACAACGCGGGCTCCCCGAGGCGATCGGGGGGGGGGGGAATCAGTCAGTCACCTGGGCTGCAGGGGAGAGGCGGAGATGGCGGGGGTCTGTTTACTCCTATAAAGGTCAGGGCACCGGAAGTGACTGGGGCCCCACCGAGCCCGGGAAACCCGCCCCCGCCCCCACCCCCGGGGTTCGTCCGCCTCAGGGAGCTGCAGCTGCTGGGGGAGGGGGAGGGGGGAGGGAGGGATGGGGAGGGAGGGAGGCACCCCCCGGACCGGGCCGCGCAGAACGAACTCACCGTCCTCCAGAGACTCCCCAAGTTTGTCCGGGAAAAGTCTCTGCGAAGTGTGTTCCCGCCCGAGCGCCTGTGGGGAGAGGGCATCGGGGCGGTGAGGGGCGGGGGCCGGGCGGGGGCGCGGGGACCCCGCGCACGGCGGCGCGCTCACCTCGGCGCCGGCCTCCGCCTCGCCGCGGGCCCCGGCGTCGGCGCCCGCGCCCCCCGCGCCCTCGGACTCATTCACGAGCGACGACTTGAGCTCGGCCAGGTCCCGCTCGGGGCCCGCGGCGCTGTCCCGGCTCTTGTCGTCCGGCTCCTCGCCCTCATCCTGGAAGGCCAGCAGCTCGTCGGGCGCGCCGAGGTCGTCGCCGCCACCGCCGCCGCCACCCGCGCCGCCTCCGCCGGCGTCCAGCTGCGGCATGGTGCGCTCCGCCCGCCGGGACGCGCGGGACGTGGGGGCGTGCGGGGAGCCGGCGAGCCCGGAGTGTGGACCTCCGAGCCCGGAGCGCGGCGGGCGGAGCGCGGGCTGGCTCCGCCTGGGCGGCCGGTGGGCGCGGGGCGAGGGCGCCGGGCTCGGCCGCTCCGGGAGCTGGCGGGGCGGAACATCAAAGGCGCCGCCGGCGGAGTGCCGGGGGCGGGGCCTGTCGCGGGTGGGCGTGGTCTGTGTGAGTGGGCGGGGTCGGGAGGTACCGGACACGCCCC